TAGAAGAGGCTGGGGCCAGCACTGTGCTGGCCCCTGCAGCCTTACCTGGGGTCCTCCTGGGGCTGCGGCAGTGGTGATCCTGATGGGCGGAGCCTGGCTGGCAGCTGCAGCACAGATCCGGGTGGCCCAGCTCTACTTTTCAGTGGCACATGCTGCCTGTGTGCAAGCTGTTCTGGGTTTTTTTCCCCACAGCTGGATATCCAGGGATCAAAAAAAAGCCGCCGGAAGAAAAACACGGAGCAACGCACACATGGGCAGCCCACAGAACAGCTTACTGTGCAATATGTAGCACTGCAGATGTGTTTGAGGCACCACATACCATACAGCTGTGCTCATCTGGATGCACCCTATATGTCCATGCAGCAAATCAACAGTTAGCATGCAACTATGCAGTATCTTTGAAAGTATGAATGAACTTACAAATCCTCTATGACTCACTAATTCAGACAGTTACAGCAAAAAAAATCTAATATGAAATGACCTCTCATTTTGGAATATATATTTAGCGTATTTCTTTAGCAGTTGATACCCAACAATTTATGCAAGCTGTGTAATTCAATAACCCCTATCTCTCAGCATGTAGAAAAGATGAGGTAAGCACAGTAACAGATTCACATTCACAGCTGTCTTTACATTAGGCTGACTTTACACAGAAAAAATATTTTTTTCCAAATTTGTTTTTAAGACTCATTTAAAGTTAAAGTTAATATATAGCATTTGCAATGTACTAAAATACTACTGCCTCAAATTCAGTGAACTGGTCCAAAGATATTCAAGTAATATGTTAAATAAAAAACCTTGAATCTAGGGAACAGGAAGTCCCAGGCTTCCAGCCAGTGAAGGTTGGGAATGGCATGTTACGTTAGCTACAGCTACAGAAGCTTAGACAAGGCTTCAAGGCTGCCACATTAGCCATTTCAGAATGCAAGACTGCGCGATAAATACAGAAATATGGTTACTGAAATGTTCCCTTATAATGAGTTTAATCATACATGGATGATTTGACTCCACTGCTATTCCATTTTCGAACTTGACCAGGGTACCTAATTTCAACCAACAAGAAAAGAAAAACCCTACCTATTCAACTTTGATTATGCAAGTATACATGTGAAGAAAATGTTATGAAAATGCCGATATCTATTCAATAGAACTTTCTCTCCAACCTAATAATAAAAAACCCTAAAGAGAAACACCTCTGATGCAAATCAATCACCCTGTAATGCAACACTGGCCTCTTTCTTCCATTTCAGTAACAAGGTTAAATTGGCTGTTAAACTGAAGTGCAATTTCTAACTTTTCAGAGCTCCCATAAAGTACAGAACTTACAGGTAAGCTTTGCACTTTTTAAAAACAGAGACTGTAAAAAGTGACAGCAAGATGAAAGACACCAGAAGTTAAAGATAACTTCTCACAGCCAAAACAGAGACACCCACAGACATTCTCTAACATTTTTCACTAACACCTGAGATTTGAGGGTGTGTAATGCAATCTGACAGTACATGAACTGTAGGTTTTAGACTTAAGCTTTACAGACAACACTATTTACATACATGCCAAATCTTCTGGAGAAAGAAAATTCATGACAAATTGTTCTAAACTTCTTGCTCAGGACAATCAACGTAAGCAACTCTTGTTCCCTACAGTGAAGAAAAAACACTTTGCCAGAAACACCCACTGCTGCTCACACTTCCTGAAAGAAGGTCACACCACAGCAATGTACCTGAGCTCTGTCAGGTAAAAGAAGAAAGTTAAGAGCACCGCAAAATCAGCTTCCTTGAAAGTAGTTTTCAAAATGACATCTTCTGAAGGCTGGCACAGACTGCCATTCAGGCAGTGGGCTGCATGTTTATGTTTAGGTTTGCAACATTTATCAGGCATATTTAAATGTTGCAATTTAATTACCAGGTCTATGAATATAAATCCATTCTTCTTATGGAAGAAAATACCTAATTAATTGAAAATTATGCCTTTTAAAAAACTCTTTTATTTGGATACACATTGCTTTAAAGAAAAGTCTACATGTGACTGCAGCATAATAAAGGTAATCTTATTGGGAAAGCATACCTATGCACAAAATTATGTTTATGCATTATGGCAAGTCCAGCAGCAATTTCACACGCCATTCTCTGTAGCAGCATTATTTGTGACTCTCCCTTGATATGCTCCTGCTCATTGCAGAGATAAGTTTTTAGGTCACCCTGTAAAATAAGTTGAAAACACTTATCAACTGCCTTACATGCTGTTTATACTTAACATATATTTAGTGAAGAAGCAACTAAACGCATTACTTCTCATCAGTCAACAAGGTTATTATTAGTAGCTATAAATAAGTTTGTACTTAATACAGAGACTCCTCATCAAGTTTCCAGTCTTCACAAGGATTCTTATAGGAGGCATCCAAGACATACAAGTACAGTACCTTCCTTTTAAAGTTATTTCAAGTCATATGATATTTAGCACCCTAGATCACTTTTTCCATACATATATGTAACTAGTGTACAGCAAGAGATGTCCAAGATATAGCCTGTGGGCCAGATCCAGCCTACTGAGCTGGTAATAGATGAGAGGTAACAGCATTAATTTGGCTATGAGAACCCCATGAGGTGGGTCTGGAGCACAGAGAAGTATCATCTGGCTGGTGAGGCAAGACATTTGTTGGCAGGGAAAGCAGTAGCTGCTGTGGCTCCAGAAGCTGAGGCAATCAACTGCTGCTGGTGTCATATGTCTGGCTTTCTAGGCTGCCTTGGGCCCAGAAGATACAGCTCTGTACTCCAGATGCATCCCTCAGACTGGTCCATGGGACTCATCTAATCCATGAAGCTAAATGAGTTTGATATCCTTAGAGTCAATAATAATACTTAAAAAATGAAGAAAGGAACTTAACGGACTTCCCCCCCCCCCGCAGAGATTGATCCATTTGAAGCCACAGTAGGACAACTCTCCAAATGAACAGTGTTCAGACTAATGGAGTAAGGATCTTGGCCATAGGAGAAAGAGTCTCTCAAAGTATTCAGATGACCAGCTCTATAGATATCATGGGAATGTCTTCTAATCTACCAACCCAATATGAGAGTTCAAGCACCAAATGATGGCAACACGTGAATGGAACCAGGCAACACAGAGTACCATTTATTCAGAGAATTAATGAATCCATTAAACCATTTTTTATCCTGACAAAGAGAATTCTGATCAGAAAAATCTGCTAAAAGAACTGTTTTTACATTTGGGAAAACAGCTTATATTAAACAGAATGTTTGGGAACATTAACCCAAACTAGACATCAAAAACATCCAGAAAAAGCAGGAACACAATAACTAGATCTATTAATAAAGGTCATTACAATTCTTCATTTACTGTTAGACCAGGTATTCTCAAACTTTGTGATACCATGACCCCAAGCGCTGGATGACAGTGGCAGGGGATGGGGAGCTCGCACAGCAGCCACCACCGCCATCCACCACTCCACGCCACTGCTATTGCCCCGCATGTGCCCCCGGGAAGTTTGCAGCCCCCTTTTAAGTTGCTTGCGACTGTGACCAAGGCAGATGTTACACTTAAAATGCAGTTAACTAATTAATCTCATCTTAAATGGTAAGCCAGTCACACATTCATGCAATTAATGGCAAGATAAAATGGGAAATATGTCACAAAATTAATTCCACAAAATGTGGAATAATAATTTTGTGCCTTTTTTCCATTGCGTCTGAAGTTTAACAAGTGGCAGGGTCCTCACCATGCAGCCTCATACTAGCTGCATGGCAGGGCTCGGACTAATCACGGTGCACTCTTGAGGCTGGGACCCACAATCAGGACCATCGGTTGCAGCTCCAGGACTTCACTGAAGTCTTGAACCTACTATTCCAGTGTGATCATGGGGCAGAGACCGACAATCAAATGACTGTTGGTCCCAGCCCCAGAACCGCACCACTTCTCCAGGCACCCAAATTTCTACTTGCTGGCGCAGAGGGAGTCCAACCCCATGATCCTGGGTTTCCCCTGCACTGGTAAGTAGTAATGGCATGATGAGTGGGATCTGATCCCTGAACCCAAAACTTTGTCCCACCATGCACATGAGGCACAGACTGGTGGGACTGGGGAACAGATCATATAGTGCCATGCAGTGACTGTGTGCCAGAGGCCCAAGTTTCTCAGTGTTACAAAGACTGCTGCACTAAACTAAGGTTCAGTTCAATAGGTAACAAGCACAAGGACGATTACTCATGAGAATGGGTATTAACATTGCCCACCGTTCCAAATGAGACCCTGTGTCAGTTAGGTTTAGCTTTGCGAAAATAACCTTTGTGCTGAAATTCTACACACCACATATCTGGTGGGCTGGAGACAAAGGGAATCAAAAAAGACAGAGATAGCGTGGGCAAGAAGTAGTGGAATTGTAGAATAAAGAATGGGTCCAGGACAAGAAGCAAGAACTGAAGTAGTCCAGAAGGGACCGTTTCAAACTTGAAGGGGAGAGACCTTGTTAAAGTGCACACAACTTTACAAACTAACAGAACCCCAGGATTTCCAAGTTTCAACAAACTTCTTATGTCAGCAAGTATCTGGGACACCTCTTGGAAATCATCTCATTCTTTCTAGGGCTGGTACATAGAAGGTGACAATCTACAAGTGATGTCATATACTCTACGAGCTCAAATGGTGAATTTAAAAGGTTGCAAAGCTGATGTACCTATGGGTGTCTACAGAGGTTCAGGGATGCTAACTCATGGTGCTTTACATAAAGTGCCACAAGTTAAAGTTCACCTGTCACAACAGATGTTCATTTGTTGGGTTGGGAGGCGTTGGGGAGGTGCGGACTAGAGCCTGCCACCACTGGCCCTGGCCAACATACAGGGATGATCCAGCAGCCAAACCACCCCTCTCCCCTGCCCCATACTTCCTCCCCAGCTCTGGGGCTATCAGTGAGAAAGTGAGAGGGAAGGGGAAGAAGCAGCCAGCCCAGAGGTATGGAAAAAATATTATACAATTATGTATTGCACTCTAACGCATTTTTACCGTAAATTAAGGCAATCTTACCTGTGGTATTTCCTAACTTTTGACTGCTTAATTCTAACTTTAATATACTGGTTATGCAATAATGGCTGCACAAAAAACAAATCAAATGTTTGTGGAAAACCAATGGATAGGAAAACTCAGGGACGAACCTTCATAGAACTTTCCTGAATAAAGTGCTAAGTTTTCCTTTACCTTACTTCCCATTTTTTACTTAAAGTGATGTTTTGTGATTCAACATAAAAAAATTACATGTAGATAATTACATGAAATGTTTAAGGCATGATAACTTAAACAAATGCAAGTCAACTAAGACAGAAACAAATATGCTACAAAGATGTTTTAGTGCATGTTGAAGGGGAGGATGAGACCAGCCCATTAAGAATTCACAGGCACATTTTATCATTAACTCATACACTTTGGGACACCCAGGAAAATTAATCCAAATTAACTTTTAAAGAGGATTAGTTAAGTCACATGAAAAGTCCCATGTGGACACTCATTCAAAGATAAATTCATTTCATTTAACTTCATTTACTTTAAGCAAATTTAAAGCAAATTAAAGACACTTTAATAGTGAATGAGGGAAACTTTACACATGCTCTGGGGTCGAGGGGGGGAGGGCACTTTAATTATGGCAGTTCTCAGGAGCTGCTCTAACTGAAGTGCCCCCAGTGTCTCATGTATTTAGCCTCCTGGACTTCAAAAAAGCAGTGGGGGCGCTTTACCTAAAGCCTATTCGATAAGCTTTAGTTACAGCACCCCCACTGCCATTTTGAAGTGAAGGAATGCTGAATATACATGATGCTGAGGCTGCTGGAGCATGCTCCAGCAGACTCTATTAAATCAAATCTGCTCCAATGTACACTAATAAGCACACATCAGAGCAGGCATCGGGCATCTGCCCACAGATTTAATGCAGTTTAACTAATCCATTTTCAATTCAAAACAAATTAACTTTTCAGAGTGTTCCCATGTAACTACGCCC